TTTCATTTCTACATTGGGCTGTCTAGTTTTAGTATGTCTCTAGGTATGTATTGTGAGTGTGTATAAGATTTTTAGATAAGATTTGGTCAATAGATCAGAAAGATGAAAATATTAGAAGCTAGGTTTACATTTATGTTACATTTATATTTGAAAGTAGTATCAGTGGGGTTTGAATGTCTCTAGTTAAGACAAGTATGTTGACGCTGAATGGTTTTTAGAAGCTGACTTTGTCTTGTTTTCAGATGTGTGCCCTTTAGTAAACTGATTAAGGAATACCTTAAAATAGAACTTCCTGTGATGAGCAGCTTAGTGGTGTATTCATCATCCCTGGGGCAGCTGGTAGGGCCCTTGGTCTTCCTAGCCTTTCTGCTGACCTCACCATGCCTTACAAATATGGTTCTTTTTTTTTTTTTTTAAAGATTTATTTATTTATTTATTTGACAGAGAGAGAGAGAGAGAGAGAGAGAGCGAGCGTGCGTGCGCGCGAGCGAGGACGCACAAGTAGGCAGAGTGGCAGCTAGAAGGAGAAGTAGGCTCTCCGCTGAGCAGGGAGCCTGATGTTGGGCTCGATCCCAGGACTCTGGGATCATGACCTGAGCCAAAGGCAACCACATAACCGATGGAGCCACCCAGGTGCCCCTGGTTCATCATTTTGTATGAGTGATGTGAAAAAGGTTGGGAAACTGACTTAACATACTTCTTAGCCTAGTAAATAGTCTTAACAAACTCACATAGAAGAATAAAAATAATGAATGATAGTCTAAAACTTGAAAATGGGCTTGCTTTTATTTTGTCCCTTTTAATTTATTATAGTATGTTCTATACCAAGTACCAGCACTGTTATTTTCTAAGTGCCTTCAAGACTTAGAATTCATCAAAAAATAAGTATGTTCTTGAAGTTAGTCCATATTTAAGTCTTGTAAGTGGATTCTTTAGTTAATAATTTATAGTACAATCTCTACACCCCTCCCCCCAATTAAATACAGTTTGCTATTTACTGCAGTTTGTCATTTGCTGAATGGTAAATATTTTTTAAAGGTGTACTACTAAATGGAGATTGAACTAACATTTACTAGTTCTGACAGGTCTGTTCTTTTTTTTTTTTTTTTTTTTTTTTAAAGATTTTTTTTTTTTATTTGACAGACAGAGATCACAAGTAGGCAGAGAGGCAGGCAGAGAGAGAGAGGGGGAAACAGGCTCCCCGCCAAGCAGAGAGCCCGATGCGGGGCTCGATCCCAGCACCCTGGGATCATGACCTGAGCCGAAGGCAGAGGCTTAACCCACTGAGCCACCCAGGTGCCCCTGACAGGTCTGTTCTATTAAAAAAGTTATACTCTATAAATCAATCCAATCTTTTAAAAAGGCAGGGTGTGGGGCACCTGAGTGGCTTAGTTGGTTGAGTGTCTGGCTCTTGATTTCACCTCAAGTCACGATCTTAGGGTCCTGGGAATCAAGCCCTGTGTCTGGCTCGCTCGCTCTGGGAGTCTGCCTGAGGATTCTCTCCCTTTCCCTCTGCCCACTCATCCTGTGAGTATTTAAAAAAAAATTATGTATGTTTTGCAACATTATTCTAGTTTCTTACGTAATTCATTTAATACTTGAGGGCCTTCAGGTTCTAAGTACTGTGTTATGGACTAAGAATACAGTAGTGAACAGGATTTGGCAAGGGTCCTGCTTTTGTGGAGTAGGAGGGTGGATGGTACTAACCTAAATGTGTACCAACAAAATATGAACAATTTTTTTTTAAGATTTTATTTACTTATTTGACAGAGATCATAAGTAGTCAAAGAGGCAGGCAGAGAGAGAGAGAGAGAGAGAGAGAGAGAGAGAGGAGGAAGCAGGCTCCCTGTGGAGCAGAGAGCCCAATGTGGAGCTTGATCCCAGGACCTTGGGATCATGACCCGAGCTGAAGGCAGAGGCTTTAACCCACTGAGCCACCCAGGCGCCCCAAAATATGAACAATTTAACATAGTAGTAAGTGCCATGAAGAAAATAAGGCAGTTATTTATTTATTTATTTTAAAAAACATTTATTTGACAGCGAGAGCAGGAACACAAGCAAGGGGAAGTGGGAGAGGGAAAGCAGGCTCCGCTGGGCAGGGAGCCTGATGTGGGGCTTGATCCCAGGGCTTGATCCCTGGGATCATGACCTGAGCTGAAGGCAAATGCTTAAGGACTGAGCCACCCAGGTGCCCCAAGGCAGAGTTATTTAATGGAGTTAGGGAGGAATGTCTTTTGGCTGGGGTGGCTAGGGAAAGCCTCTCTAAAGTGATCTTTAAATGAAGGCCTTAATGATGTGAAAAGGCCAGCTTGTTTGTTTCTGAAGGTGTCAGCCATCCAGGTGGAGGGAACAAGAAGTTCCAAAGTCCTGAGACTTTAAGCTTGACATGTTTGTTCAGAAAGAAGGAGCTTGGCTTATATTTTGAGTCTAAAATAGGGGAGAGATAGGTTGAGTTGCATCTTTAAGATTGCTCTGGTTGCTCTTAATTTCTCTATCAAGGGAGAAATTTCAGGCTAGTGTGATGCTCAGATGAACCCTCTTTCCTCCTCTTTTTCTCTCATCTGGTTCTAAACTTATTCATCTCTTCCTTTTTTAGTTGGGAAAAAAGATCTAGGGAAAAGAGGAGATGCGGGTGCCCCTAAAAAGTGATCTTATGGGGCGCCTGGGTGGCTCAGTGGGTTAAGCCGCTGCCTTCGGCTCAGGTCATCATCTCAGGGTCCTGGGATCGAGCCCCACATCGGGCTCTCTGCTCCTCAGGGAGCCTGCTTCCCCCTCTCTCTCTGCCTGCCTCTCTGCCTGCTTGTGATCTCTCTCTGTCAGATAAATAAATAAAATCTTAAAAAAAAAAAAAGTGATCTTATGATAATGAAGGGATAGAATTAGGAGTGTGAAGCGGCTCAGGTGCCAGAGGGGAAGGCAGTGTGCCATGGGCTTGCCACTTGAAGGCTGTGATGTCTTGTCCTGTCTCGCCCTTTTACACAAATACAATAGGCTTTGTAGAAATTTACAGTTGTAATAGTAAAACACAGAAACCCAAAAAGTAGATAGATAATATATAGAAAGTAAAAATTCTTCACAATCCTGCTGAAATAAGTGTTACTAGTTTTTTATTCTAGATTTTCTCACTTCTTTATGAGTATAGATTTTTATCTTTCTAGACTAATATAAAAGAGGTTCAAACTATATTTTTCATTTTTTGTTTTGTCTTGGATAGCTTTTTTCCATCAGCACATACGTAGTACTTCATTTACCACATAGATATTAACATTTGTTTAGTTCTCTATTAGGTATTTGGTCTCTCCAGGTTTTTAAGGATATGAACAACGCTATAACAAAGATGCGGGTACATATATCTTTTCTCTTTTTAAAGTTTTATTTAAATTTCAGTTAGCATACAGTGTAATATTAGTTTCAGGTGTACAATTTAATGATTGAGCACAGACATACATCTTCCGGTGCTCATCACAAGTGCCCTCCTTAATCCCCATCACTTATTTAACTCATTGCACTACCCACCTCCCCTCTGGTAGCATCAGTTTGTTTTCTGTAGTTTCTTGATTTGCCCCCCTCTCTCCTTTTTTCTCTATGCTCATTGATATATATCTTTTTTTTTTTTTTTTAAGATTTTACTTATTTATTTGATAGAGATCACAAGCAGGCAGAGAGGCTGGCAGAGAGAGAGAGGGAAGCAGGCTCCCTGCTGAGTGGAGAGCCCAATACAGGGCTCAATCCCAGGACCCTGGGATCATGACCTGAGCTGAAGGCAGAGGCCTTAACCCATTGAGCCACCCAGGTTCCCCTACATAAATCTTTTTATACGCTTGCCTTATACTTCTGTAGGATAAATTCCTAGAGTGCAATTGAATAGGTCAGTCTTTACATTTTCTGTAAAATGGGGATGTAAGTCCTACCTAGAATATTTCTCTGAGGATTAGGTTGGATAATATGAGTGGGATGTGTGTAGTATATACTTCCTCATAATAGTAGGCACCTAGTAGATGGTAAGTATTACTACTAATAAGACGAAGTAAGTTTCTAAGGGAAGAAGGTGTGAGAAGGATGGGATTACTTGTTGACATCACTGTTTTCTAAAGGAGGAGATAAACCTCACTTCTGCATGATTGCTGACTCCCTATCGATGCCAGGGCATGGTGTGTCTTAACTGCACAGTATCTAACTTTATCGTCCTTGTGTGACTGTCTGTGGACTTCTTTTGCACTTTCCTGTTGCCCACTTAAAACATTTGGTTATTTTTGGTTAGGTGACTGTCTCTGCTTGCTCCTGTTTGTAAGTTTGTTTTGTACCAAAACTGAACTGTGAATATTCAGTGGAAGGTGGAAACTTCATGAACTTTAAATTTAAACATCTATGGAATCTGGTTATTTTACCTGTCATTTGGGTATCTTTGGGCAAGTAGTGTGATTTTTCTGTGCCTCGTTGGTTTAAGGGTAGATGGAATATGGGATTTAAAGTCTTTGAGATCCTTATACACATTAAGTGAGATCATTTATGTATCATTTATATATCAAGTGTCTAATACACATCTTAGAAATACTAATTTCCTTCCTTTAAGGCAGAAAATTACAGCTTACAGTTTTTTGTTTTTTTTTTTTTAATTTCACTTTTCAGAGTACTTAATGTTACTGATACCCAAGGGTAGTCACTTGCACTTAGTATACAATAACTAAGGAAGAGAAGTGTAATTTTAAAAATATTAGAAGTCAGGAGACCTGGGCCCATGGTCCAGGTAGGCTTTTAACTGGTAGTATAACGAATCTTTTGATCTCTAGTCCCGATTTTGCTCGTTTTTTGTTGTTGTTGTTGTCGTCTATGAAATATTTTATGGAAATACACTAATATAGAAGTTTTCTGATTTATTTAAGCAGAGGGTTTCACTTAAGAGAAAGTCCACGTACTACTATTTTCTAATTACTCTATATATTATGTTGTTGAATTAGTTGCTTTTCTAGAATTAAGTTTGTTTTTTAAATCTTGATCAGGTATTGTGTAAGCTGCATCAATGGAGCACATACAGGGGGCCTGGAAGACGATCAGCAACGGTTTTGGATTCAAAGACACAGTGTTTGACGGCCCCAGCTGCATCTCGCCTACAATAGTTCAGCCATTTGGCTTTCAGCGTCGGGCGTCAGATGATGGCAAACTTACGGACTCGTCTAAGACAAGCAACACTATCCGTGTTTTCTTGCCAAACAAGCAAAGAACAGTGGTACGTAAATGTTCCTTTCAGAAAATTTTGTGGCCCATCTGCCTATAAAAAAGCATTTCGAATAATTTTACTCACCTTGTAGATGGGCAAAATCTTCACTGTCACTTAGTGTCTTTATTAATTGGCTTTCCAGTTGCAAATTTTATTGCTTTATATTGCTGTGTTCCTTCCACAACCACTACTTTCCTCCTTTTATTACTACTCTTGCCTGGAATATCTTCTGCTACTTCATTCAAACAAATAGTATGTTTTTATGCGGGTTTCTTGAAAAGGCTTTTCTTTCAAAAAGCTCCTTTAGACCTTTCCAGCTAATTTTATGTATGTATGTATTATGGATATTAAAATGCCCACTAAATTTTTTGGACATTATAGTCAAGTATATAGAAGAAAATAAAATTACTTAGAAAAAATTATTTTGGTAAATTTTGTAGGCCCCAGGCAAAGCTGAAGGTAGCTTAGAAAGCCAGAGCCACTCGGTTTTTTACACAGAATTCCAAATTTTCCAAGAAATTATTGCTCAAAACAGTTTTTTTACTATCCTGGGTGAAAAGCACCCCACCTGGTTAAAACAGGAAAATGAAGTTGTGCTAATTTTGCTTGGTGGGACATCTGAGGAAAACCTTTAGTTCAAAACTTCCATGCCTCCTCCTTTCCCACCCCATTCTTTTTCTTTTCTTTCTTTTTTTTTGAATTTTATTTATTTGACAGAGGGAGAGCACAAGTAGGCAGAGCGGTAGGCGGAGGGAGAGGGAGAAGCAGGCTCTCTGCTGAGCAGGGAGCCCGACATGGGACTCAGATTCCAGGACCCTGGGATCATGACCTGAGCCGAAGGCAGCTGCTTAACTGACTGAGCCACCTAGGTGCTCTCACCCCCCGCCCCCCATTCTTTGAGTAAAATCAGTGTATGGTGTTTTTTTCTGTGTACCTAGGTGAGACAAAGTTCCAACTTTAGAAAGTCCAGTTCAGAATTTTCTGTTTCGGACAGTTCTGCTCTCCTCTCCCCAGTTTTCTAATAAATTCCATTTACTTCTTTTGTGAACTTCAGGAGCCTCCCAGTTATAGTATTGTACATTTATGTACATTTTGAACTGAAGGCAAAACTCAAAAGGTATTTAAAGTTTGAGTAAATTTATTTTTGTTATTCTTCCTAAAAATAAAAGTTTAATGGCTGGCAAAATAAATAGTAATAACCTCCTTCTATTTCAAGAGTGGCTTTCATTTGCAAGATGATTTTTACCTACTGTTGCTCATTAATTTTCTTTCTAGCCTTAAATGGAGAGCCCAGACGGGGAGTGTGAATATAATGGGAAGCTGAAGGCAAGCTGAAGACCATATAGTACTGCTTCAGGGTGTTAATGTGCCTGTCTTCCCTATTCTCTGATACCAGATTGCCTGAAGACTGGGAAACTTAGTTTGGCATAATGATTAAGTATGTAGACCTTTAAGATAACCAGGCCCCAATTTAAATTCCTGTATTGCCTTTTGTTAGCTGTATCATTTAGAAAAATTACATAATACTTTGAGCCTCTGTTACTGACCTTAATAAAGTGAGGCTCATGCCGAATACAGTAACTAGTTTATAAGAAAATAGTTGCTATGATTATTTGAGTTTTTTCTACATATATGTAGCCCTTGACAGCTTTCGGTTGAGCACAACTGGTATTTGGTAACAAGTGATTTGGAAGCTTGATTTCTTGTACAGCCTATGAAAAGACTCTAGCAGAGAAACTTAGTTACTTCTATTTCTTTGACCAGAGATGGACCATCACTCTTTGGAAGAACCATCTTCTTTCAGCAGGCACCCATCTTTAGGGACCATTGGAAGAAGGAGTCACTTGCTGGCCAACATGATGAGTCAGCAGTTTCTAATAATCCCCAGGTTTCTTCACTCCTTGGAACTCAGAATGACTCTCATAATCACTCAGTGAGTTCCAGAAATTAGTCAGACTTATCTAATTTCAGCATGTATCCATGGGGAGTTGTAGAGAGGAGAATGACTGAAAAGATACATATATGATTTAAATAATTGTAGAGGTATAATTGGTAGTTGGTTGGAAAAAGAACCTTTTTCTTGTCATTTATTTTGTACATGTGTGTCTCTTTGCCACTTCCTGTTTATTGGATGGGTGGTTAGACCATAGCTGAGGACCATTAATTTACCATTAGACTCACCTGACATGGGTTAAAATACATATTCCTGGGCTTCACTCAAGATCAAGTGAATCGGGCGCCTGGGTGGCTCAGTGGGTTAAAGCCTCTGCCTTCGGCTCAGGTCATGATCCCAGGGTCCTGGGATCAAGCCCCACATCGGGCTCTCTGCTCAGCAGGGAGCCTGCTTCCTCCTCTCTCTGATTGCCTCTCTGCCTACTTGTAATCTCTGTCAAAAAAAAAAAAAAAAAAAAAAAGATCAAGTGAATCAATCCTTAGATGTGTTGGAGTGAGGAGGCTGGGAACCTATATTTTTAAAAGCTCTTCGGATGATTCTAATGCCAGTCACATTTGGGAACCCCACTGCATTAGAGAATATTTAAAGAACAGTCTAGCTCTTAGAGTCTGTGTATTTATTTATTTAATATTTTATTTATTAGAGAGTGTGAATGGGGGAAGGGTGGGTAGAGGGAGAACCAGACTCCCAGCCCGATGCAGGACTTAATCCCAGGACCCTGGGATTGTGACCTGAGCCACCCAGGCACCCAACTCTGTAACTTTTAATGAAGATTAATGATAGAGCACAGATAACACTTTATATTTTTCAGAGCCCATTACACAGTATTTGATGCAAGTAATGATTTCTGTTAGTGTATTACTCTTCATTGTCCTCATTCTTGGCATCTTATCAGATCAGTATATCTTACTTTCACTTAGTTTTGTTTCTGAAAAGCTAGAAGTTGATCTTTTTGAGGTTATAACTGCTTCAAGAAGTCTAAAATAAACTTGCTGTGGAACATTTTAAATAAATACTTCAGACTTTTCAAATAGATCCACGCATACACTCACCTCCCTCTGGGAAGGGACTGGGTTGCCCACTGTCAGCTCTCACACTTCCACAGAACACAGGAACTCTACTGTGGGCAATGGACAAGACCTGCACATCTACATTCTGTTCTTTTTATTGGCCATACTAACTCCAGTTGCTTCACTTTTAATTGACTTTATTGTCTTTGAAAACAAAATGTATGCGGGACACCTGGGTGGTTTGGTTGAGCATGTGATTTTTTTTTTTTTAATATTTTATTTGTTTATTTGACAGAGAGCTAGAGAGAGAGCACAAGTAAGCAGAGCAGCAGGGAGAGGGGGAGAGAGAGAAGCAGGCTCTCTGCTGAGCAGGGAGCCCATGCGGGGCTCAATCCCAGGACCCTGGAATCATGGCCCGAGCTGAAGGCAGCTGCTTAACCAACTGAGCCACCCGGGCGCCCCTGAGCATGTGATTCTTGATTTTGGCTCAGGTCATGATCTTGGGGCTGTGGGCTTGAGCCCTGTGTTGGGCTCCATGCTGGGTGTGGAGCCTTCTTGGGATTCTCTCCCTCTCTCCCTACCCCTCCCCTTGTGCACGAGCTCTCTCTCTAAAAATTAAAATAAAAATAAAATGTATGGGGCTTTTATCAAAACTCTTTAAGTTCTTTTTATATAGCTGCCATTATTAGCACTCAGAATACTCACACTTCTATTAGGTCTCTGAGTATCTGCTTTTCTTTTGAGGATTGGATACAGGAGAATGTGGAAGGACATACACTAAGGCTACCTGGAATGGTATGCACATTTATTTAAATTGTGGTGTTTGTCCTTGTAGAAGGACAGAAGCTCTGTTTCCTCTCCTTGCTGGCCCTTAAAGGTGTGAAGTGTATATGAAATGGAATTTTTCTTATGAGGATAAATCATTTTGTTGAAAACAGGTTAAAATACAAATTTTGACCAGAAAAACTCTTGTTTGCTTATTAGATCAGATTGGTTTATTTTCCTTTCTGGTGGATGTTCATGCTGGCATGTACATTTCAGTGAGTTCTACAAATTAGAACTGTGTAATGGGAAGTTAGATCATTTTCTCTCTCTCAGCTACTCACCTGATGTTAATAGCTACAGGTATGTCTTTTTACACTCATGCAACATATATAAACCTATAAGAGTTTCCCTCCCTTTGAATAATCTGACTTTGTATTATTCTGAAAAATATTTCCCCACAATTAACGTATCATGGATACCCCTCCCTTTAGGTCATTATAAATAATGTAGCGGCAGAATGTGACATGTATAGATATCTAGGCTTTATTCAAGCACTCACCTGTTGCTGGACATTGCAGCTATTTCCTGTGTGTGTGTGTTTATCATTACAAACAGTGCTGCCATAGATCTACATATATCCTTACAGACTAGTGCATTTATTTCTGTGCTCACTAAGGGATATGCAGCCTTTGTTGGTTCTTACAGTTGTCTTTTGTTTATAGGTCAATGTGCGAAATGGAATGAGCTTGCACGATTGCCTTATGAAGGCACTCAAGGTGAGGGGCCTACAGCCGGAGTGCTGTGCTGTGTTCAGACTTCTCCATGAACATAAAGGGTAAGAACTTAAAAGTCAGTTCCTTTTTCATACTGGTAAGGAGTTGATGGTTTCAAATAATAACAGTTCCCATTTTTTAAAAAAGTATACTAGCTTCCTGTAGAATATTATGTGTTTATATGCCCTTGTTCATAGATAACTCAGAAAAGTAAAATACTTGGGCACCTGGGTGGCTCAGTGGGATAAAGCTTCTGCCTTCGGCTCAGGTCATGATCCCAGGGTCCTGAGATCAAGCACCACATCGGGCTCTCTGCTCAGCAGGGAGCCTGCTTCCCTTCCTTCTCTCTCTGCCTTCCTCTCTGCCTATTTGTGATCTCTGTCTGTCAAATAAATAAAAAAAAATCTTAAAAAAAAAAAGTAAAATACTAAAAACTTGAAATTATTGCTTGAACATTGCATTGAAAAAAGAATACATATTAGGTGTTGTGATAGTATTCCATAGATGGAGACAGTAGTGTCAGGGATGTGTTTCTTGAGAGCAAAAATTTGTGTTTCCTGGAATGCAGTGGACAGAATGGGTACTCCGAAAGTGTTTGCATTATTATTTATAAAAAATCTTATCCTCAAGAGATTAACTCTTTTGTAATTCATTCTTTTTTTTTTTTTTTTTTTTTTTTAAGTTTTTTTTTAAAGTAAGCTCTGTGGTCAATGTGGGGCCTCAGACTCAGGACCCTGAGATTTAGAGTTAAATGCTATTCTGCTTGAGATAGCCAGGCGCCCCTCATTCATTCAGTTTTATACAGGTAATGTTTACTGAATTCCTGCAGTTTGGCAGATATAGGACTAAAAGATGCAGAAGAATTTCTGCTTCAAGAAAGATCCATAGTTAATCTTATTTCTAATGGTGGTGACAAGATAGAGGTATCCCATCAAAGGCTAGGAGTAATAACCCATAGCTTCCATAATTATCCATTAACCATCCTTATCCCCCCCCCCCCCAATTTGGGAGAAGTAATCTTTCTTCTTGGAAAATGCTAGTTCTGTTACTGATCTTCAGCTTACATCTTTTCTGTTTCAAGGAGTTTCCCAGTTCGAGAGAATAGCCTAGGGAATGAGTCAACTCAGAGGGGCCATCCTGAATTCCACTTTGCTATTACTCTCAGCTTAGGTAGTTTTTTGAAGTTCAGATCTTTGAAGCCTATGTCAGCTTTATCTGGATGTAGGCCCCAGGTTGGTCTTAAGCAACCAGTGCTCCTTTTTTTTTTTTTTTTTAAAGATTTTATTTATTTATTTGACAGACAGAGATCACAAGTAGGCAGAGAGGCAGGCAGAGAGAGAGAGGAGGAAGCAGGCTCCCCGCTGAGCAGAGAGCCCGACGCGAGGCTCGATCCCAGGACCCCGGGATCACGACCCGAGCCGAAGGCAGAGGCTTTAACCCACTGAGCCACCCAGGCGCCCCGCAACCAGTGCTCCTTAAGGACTAGAGGAATTCTGGGACAGCAGGGGCTTGTCCACTCTCATCTAAGGCCACATTGGTTTAGAGCTACTGTCACTTCTCTTTGACAGATAGCATCTGAAGACTGATGAGAACACAGGGCTGCCCCCTCTTCATTAGGGCGAAATAGGACTTTGGAGTCCTTATGTATGGAATTATAAAAAGAATGGATTATTTGCTATTGGATAACCAGAAAAATGTCTGGAATAGGCTTCTGGTAGGCAAAGGGAGAAGTTGGAATTATGTTTTTTTTTTTTTTTTTTTTTTTTAAAGATTTTATTTATTTATTTGTCAGAGAGAGAGAGGGAGAGAGAGTGAGCACAGGCAGACAGAATGGCAGGCAGAGGCAGAGGGAGAAGCAGGCTCCCTGATGAGCAAGGAGCCCGATGCGGGACTCGATCCCAGGACGCTGGGATCATGACCCGAGCTGAAGGCAGCTGCTTAACCAACTGAGCCACCCAGGCGTCCCGGAATTATGTTATATATGTGTTGTTTTCTCCCTACTTTAGAATATTCTTCATTCAGGAAGTGGGCCTGATGAACTAACTACACAAGACATGAGAAAGGAGCTTCATTTTTTTTTTTTTTTTTGAAGCTTTTTACTTTGTTGTATCTATTTTTCTGTGTTATCTAGGCACAGAAAGAATGGTGGCAGAGTAAATTTTAAAGACAGTTAAGTCCCCTGTCAACTTGTAGACCCTGCAAACAATTCTACAGATGTGAGCCTGTTATTAATAGCAAAGTGTATTTCATTCACCATTCCTTTGTATTATGTATCTGCCTGACTGAAGTGGGCTACCAAAGATTAAATTTTGCTGTTACAGCAATATTTATACCCAATTTTAGGATTTTAGAATTCCTATAGAATTTTAATATTACAAAGTCCAATTTACTACATACTTACTTTATCATGAGACCTTATAGTTCATTCTTTTAATACTTTTTTTTTTTTTTTTTTTTTTTTTTTAAAAGAGAGAGTGGGGATGAGGGAAAGGGAGAGGGAAAGGAGAGAATCCCAAGCAGACTCTGGGCTGAGCACAGAGCCTGACGCAGCTGGATCCCAGAACCCTGAGACCGTGACCTGAGCTGAAATCAAGAGTCAAGACATGAAACCAACTGAGCCACCCAGGACCCCCGTTGTGTAGTTCGTTATTTTATAATAACCTTTATTCTAAAAGCACAAGCTTTAGAGTCCAGCTGAGCTGGATTCCAACATAGGTCTTTATACTCACTGTATGGCTTTGAGCAGGTAACTTTCTTAGGGCCCCCATTCTCTCATTTTTAAAATGGGGATAATCATACTTGATAGGTTTGTTGTATGAATTAAATAAGCTAATGTTATATGGGATTAAGCTTTATGTTTATGTAGTAAGAGATAAATTTAGCCATTGTTCTTGGCCTTGAGCTCTTACCTTGTTTAAACATTTCCCTTTTATATTATGTTTTTAAAAATCCCCTTCAGTAAAAAGGCACGTTTAGATTGGAATACTGATGCTGCCTCGTTGATTGGAGAAGAACTTCAAGTAGATTTCCTGGATCACGTTCCCCTCACAACACACAACTTTGTAAGTTACAGTGTTCTTCTCTTTTTGTGGCATGTTGGGCACTTTGGCTGACATAATAGGACTTTCTCAGAGGTACTAGACATATATATTGTTGGATTGTTCAAAACTGCCATTATGCCATTGTTTACAGTAAGGCAATTTAGGTTTAATTAGCCACAGATATACTTTAATTTCTAGGCATGAATTTTACAAGTGTCGACAGTATGATTCTTCATTCTGTAAGACACCTTGGGGACCAAGAAGGAACCTACTTTGTTTTTTGTTGTCTTTCATTAATTCAACATAATTTACATCTGTGTTCTTATCCAGGCACGGAAGACCTTTCTGAAGCTTGCGTTCTGTGACATCTGTCAGAAGTTCCTGCTAAATGGATTTCGTTGTCAGACTTGTGGCTACAAATTTCATGAGCACTGTAGCACCAAAGTTCCTACTATGTGTGTGGATTGGAGTAATATCAGACAGCTCTTGTAAGGCATTGTTCTTATTTCAAAGAATATAAGTGGTTAGGAAGGCATAAACTCTTTTGAAGGTGCTTATTGTATATTTGAATGACAAGTCTGGGTTTTAGACGTATTACATGAATTATTATGATCTGGAAACAGTCTGCTTTAGAAACATGACAGTTCTGAAGCCAGAGTTGTAGTGTGGCATAGGTCTCTAAAACAAGCAGCTATAAGACTGCTACCTGCCAAATAGAGATTGATGTGCTGTGATTCAGTAAAGCAAAGAACAAAAAGATATGAAAACCAAAAATTGTGGCTTTTCTCTTTCAATAGTATCATCTGTTAGATTACTGGTAGAGACTACTCTGTTAAATATGCTAAGCATGCTAAGCCTTTGTTATTGAGAAGGGGCAGAAAGCATAGCTGGTGTTATTTTCTTCCTCTCAGACTGGAGAAAACATTAGTTTAAAGTGATGTAAATGTAAAACGTCAAAAGATACTTGTGTTTAGTGATTTTTTTTTAAGACTTTATTTGACAGAGATCACAAGTAGGCAGAGAGAGAGAGAGAGAGAGAGAGAGAGAAGGAAGCAGGCTCCCTGCCGAGCAGAGAGCCCGATGCGGGACTCAATCCGATGACCTTGAGATCATGACCTGAGCCGAAGGCAGAGGCTTAACCCACTGAGCCACCCAGGTGCCCCGTGTTTAGTGATGTTTAAGCTGAAAGTACATGTTCCAAATTGCCTTTTAAGAACTGTTAATGGCGGGGGGTATGAAAAGTCAAAAGTTTTATCCCTTTTTGGGAGTAGGAGAAAAACAAAGGGAGTGTTATCATTAAACCATGATGGGAATGCCTTTTTTTGCTTTCGTGGTAGTCACATTGCTTTTGCTTGTGTAGCCCAAGTGGCACAGCCTAGGAGTTTAGCAGGCACGGATGAGAATGTCAGCATTACCATTAACTAAATTTAACCACCACTGAGGCTCAGGTCCATTCATCTGAAGAAAAAGGGTATTACCCTCCTTGCAGGGTTCCTTTGAGGATATACTGAGGTAGCTAACCTGTGAAATTGCTGGGCACAAGTGTTCATCTCATGAAAAAGAAGATGCCCAGTTAATGCTAATATCACTTTTATTTATGATTTTTGGTGCTGAATGATGTTTATTTTTCATATTCAGTCTTTTCATCTTTGTGTTTCCAAGACAGAATATTTCCAGAAAACTTCTGTGTGATTTAGATTATAATGTGCCCTACGGTAGTGTTAAAAAGCATTATTTTGATATAACTGGATACTGGGCCAGTATTATCATTATTTATTCATTCATTCATTCATTCATTTATTTATTTATTTATTTATTTATTTTAAAGAAATGCACACTAGAGTCTATATGTTCATTGGCAGGTCAGTATTCTTCACATTCTGTACTCATTCAAACCAGTCATTTGGGTTGGTAGTCCTTTTGCTTGGGTAGCCTAAAATGGTCAAGCAAAATGTGACTAGAAGATGTTTAGTTTGAGTAGTTGTTAGCAAGAGTAGCAAGGCAAGGCAGTCTGACTCTGTAAAATTACTGCAATTCTAATAAACCAGTCTTCTTGTGATTTCATGTAGATTGTTTCCAAATTCTACTATTGGTGATAGTGGGGTCCCAGCACTGCCTTCTTTGACTATGCGTCGGATGCGAGAGTCTGTTTCCCGGATGCCTGTTAGGTAATCTTTTTTACTTACAGCTTTTCTTTGGAAAATTACATTGGGGTGGGTGGGCCTGAATACAAAAGACTCTCCAGAGTTGCTTTATATTCCCTTCTCCCCCTGTGTAAGCTCTTTACTACTTCTGAGGACTTGATATTGATGTTAGAGCAAAGTGTGGTCTTGTAGCTTTTATATTCTGGAAAGTGTGACTGCAGTTTTCTTCTCTTACATAGCATGTCCCTTAATAGCTCATCACATTTTAAGGAGCTTCAGAATTTGCCTCCCTCAATATGGTAGCAAGTTGCATCTCAAGGGAAGGGTCTCCAAACTATATACAGTTATCCAATAAAAATAAAACTCATAACTTTGGAATGCTAATTATGGCCTTGCGTTTATAAAACAATGGTATTTAATAGACTGCGATCTTTAAAAAGAGTCGAATTAGATTTTTAAAAATTTTTATAAAGATTTTATTTATTTATTTGAGAGAGAGAGAGAGGAAACACAAGTGGGATGAGGATCAGAGGGAGAAGCAGATTCCCTGCTGAGCAGGGACCCTGATGTGGGACTTGATCCCAGGACTCTGGGATCATGACCTGAGCCGAATGGGCCCTTGAATTAAGCTTTTTAATATAAATATCCTTTCTAATGTGCCTGTGAATTTAGATATAACTTGTTTTTATTCTGTTCTTCAGCTTTAAAGTCAGAGCTTTGTTGAGTTCACAGGTCTTGTTCAGTGTTAGACATGAATTTGGAACCTAAAATAAAATCTGTATCTTTGTCAAAGTATCTGACATTAATGTATATATATATGTATATATATAATTGAATAACATTTAATGACCTTTTAAAAACTACCATGGAAAATTTTAAAGGCAGCATACCTCAGAACAAGGAATTTGTATTGAAATGATACCTGGGTATACATTTGTGTATGACTTTTATTTTTCTTGATAATTTGAAATGCGAGTCTGACCAAAATTGTGCAGGCTTCTGAAAATTTCATACTAGAAGACAAGGTTCTGAGGGCCTAAAGATTATCTGAGAAGGTACTTTTTCAAGGCAGTAGAACAATTTCTCTTATAAAAACTAGCCTTTTGGGGCGCCTGGGTGGCTCAGTGAGTTAAGGCCTCTGCTTTCGGCTCAGGTCATGATCCCGGAGTCCTGGGATCGAGCCCCGCATTGGGCTCTCTGCTCCGCGGGGAGCCTGCTTCCTTCCCTGTCTCTGCCTACTGTGATCTCTGTCAAATAAATAAATAAAATCTTTAAAAAAAAAAAAAAACACAAAATCTAGCCTTTTATTCCTTGAACAAAACTCTAGATAATCTATAGAGCAAATAATGAAAACGTTATACCGACTGCACATTCCCAGTGTGGTTGATGGGGGGTGGGGTTGGCTGGAAGATGCCAGGGATTATTTCGCAGTTGGCATTGGCATCTTGAAAACTGAATTCACATTAACTGACTTTGAAAGCTTGTTAAGTGGGGAGAAGGTGCATGGTGGCTAAAATGCTGGCCTTTTTGCAGAGATGCTCAGTCTGTCTTAAATCTAAGGCTCTTCCTTCAAGCTCTCTAAATCAGTCTCTAACCTGGGCAAGTGCCAGGTCGCTTGGTTGGTGGTGGCGTGGTTGGCAAATGGTAATCTGTTCTCCCCTAGAGATGGCCTGAAAATTTTGTATATTCTATAGCGGTAATTTATTAAAAAGAAGACAACTTAAAATGTACTGTTGTTTTCATGTGAATTTCAAGTACATGTATTCTTCCCTTTTCAAAAATTGGCGTGCAGAAGCACCTAGACAGAAGATGTTTTTTAAGTTGTGCCTGTTGAAAGAAAGGGACATTTTGTCCAAGGTTTTAGTACAAGTAGGATTTGTCGCTGAGTATCTTAATGAAATAAGTAGTTGAAAGACTTTACCAGTGGGGAGGTCTGAGTGTCATTCATGGAGTTTTCTTTTTTCTCCTGGTCTAGTTCCCAGCACAGATATTCCACACCCCATGCCTTCACATTCAACTCCTCCAGCCCTTCCTCTGAAGGTTCCCTTTCCCAGAGGCAGAGGTCCACATCCACACCTAATGTCCACATGGTCAGCACCACCCTGCCTGTGGACAGCAGGATGATTGAGGTAATGGGGCCCCTTGTGGGTGGTGAGGAGTATCAGTTGGTTGTTGGGGTGGGGTTGACTGTTGTGTTAGAGAGTTTTGGGTTTCAAACCTGATAAAGAATGTTGCTGTGCTTTCTCAGGACCCTGGATCTTGTGAATTTATTTTTTAACCACTACATCTGTAGACTGGCTGAATAATCCAATTGGTGTGTCTGTCAAGTGGAGAACTAAAATTTCTTGAAGAAATGTTAACATTTGAACTCGTTTTTTCCATTTTAGATTTGAATAGGACTGAGCGAACTAGTGAATGAGCTATATAAAGAGTAGTTTCATTTGGTGCGGGAAAGAAAATAATAGTGATGGAGAGCTATAAACTCTGAGAGAGACTAAGTGATTTTATTTAGAAATAAAAGGGGGAGTCTTCATTGAAATACTAAGCAGGTTACTTAGGGAGATGTTAAAGTACCCAAAGCTAACATTTTCAAACTGCTTTTTCTTTTCTTGGCTTTTTGGTGTGTTCTATTTGTTTGGTTTGCTTTCTTATTCATCTTTAATAACAACTGAATACACTTAAAATACTTCCTTTGTTCTTTATTCTTCTTTATTTCTCATTGCTTTGGACTAGAATAACAGCCTGAATGCTTCTCCCAGGGCGTGGTCCAGACGATTTTGTTTGAGGGGAAGAGTAGGTATTCTTCTTCATGCCTTTGCTTTCTTGAAAGTAAATTAACAGGCTTGCTAAGACCTTCAGACAATAGCCTATCAAATGAAACAGTCACTAAGTTAAATTTTATACTTCTTGCCAGACTTGTTTTCTTGTTTTCTTTTTTGACAATAGAGTATATAGAAGTAAAAAAATATATATATTGTATGTGGGATTGCGGACAGGTGAAATAAGTTCTCTCAAGTGAGATTTTGAGGCCAGGGGCATTAAAATGTATTTTAAAAAATTAATTCCAACCAAAGACTAATACTAGATTTATTTAGTTGGTGCCCAGGGCATCACTGTTGTATTTATACCTCATTCAGAAACCAGATATATCCATTTGATTGATATGTCCTGAAAATCTTTTGCTAAAAGCTTATCAACGACAGCTATATTCTCTCTGCATTATGAATTACTCCTTGAAAAACCTCAGGGACACCTGCCACTTCAGGTACACCTGTACCTCTCTCAGACCTTGAATCATTTCCCGTGTGCTTTTTTACCAGAGGTGGCAGGGATTCAAAAAAAATGTTGGCTTCTGAATGTGGGCCTGAACTGGCCATTTTGGGGGCACTTTGAATAGCACAAGATTATTGTGAGGAGGTCATGTGTATGCAAGCTCTGAATTTTGTTACTTCCATCATGATTAGTCCTGATAATAAAATGATAAACTAGTGACTTCTGTTATGATTTATTTCTGTGTAAACACCCTAATGCTTAGAGGGGACATTAAAAGTGAAAATTCTTGCATTTTTATTAAAAAATAACTAGCACTATTGTGTTAATTCTCTCTAAGCTTTAGAGGCAGAGCAAATTTTGATTCTTTTTTAAAAATCACATATGATTCGGCTTTTCTAAAGTATACATTCTTTGTTTAAACTATTTGTTATTCTCTTTAGTATTTAGATTCCAAGATGATTGAAAAGTTCTTTCTAGGATAAGTCCAACTGTAGAAATTAGCTCAGAATAAAAATATGAGGTATATAATGTATGTGGGGCAGAAAATTACTGTGACAAGAAAAAAATCCTAGTGCATGGTATATAATTCTGTTCAGTAAAATTACATTGTGCCATGCTTTGATTAAAAAATAAAGAGTGTATTGGTTGGATAATAAAGCTATAGCTGCTGAATATTCTGTTGAAATTCAGGTTAATTTTGGCCAGTGTTCTGCCTTTCTGGCAGTCATCCTGTCTACTTAAAAACAGAGATTCCTGGGCTTCCCACCTTTCCTCCCAGAAATGCTTAATCAGTCCTAGTTGAGGGGAGGAGGAATCTGTTCTTAAACACACCTCCAGGTGATTCTGAAGACTGGCCACATTTGGGAACCCCAGGTCCAGGCTTTATTGCTTGGGGCTGCCAGAGTTAGGGGGAGGGGCGGCTTGGTTTATGATTCTTTTTATCTTGTAAAAATGTTATGGAATGGGAACATTCCATTAATAGTCGTGTGAAAAAAGTATCTTTATTGTGGTTACACAAAGAAAACAGAGTTGGGGTTCCCAGAAAAATACCCTTTTTGAGGATATGGAAGCCAGATGGCTTTATATAATAACTATTTGTATATTCCAAATAAAGATTTACAAAATGGAACTAAAGGTCTTATGGAAGGCCTTGTGATTTAAACTGTTCTACCCAGTTTCTAGTAAGTTCTAAAGGTAGCCTTTGACTTCTTACCTAAGTAGAATGTAACTAATTTCAAAGCTTACCCATAAGGTCTCAGGAGCATTTTGTGGCAAATGAGCTCAGGGCTGAGATCCATGGTGATGGTTTTTGGTTCTATTTCTGCCACCTACTGGCTGTGTGATCCTGGCCAAGTCTCTTTATTTGTTTATATTTGTTTTCTCATATGTAAAATACAGGTTTTGGACTAGGGGATTTATTGTCCTTCCAGCATTTCATGATTTTAGGCTTGGGTAGAGTTACACAATTACGGTGCTTCCCCTTATCCAATCCAGCTTCTGGTCGGTGTGCCCTAAACTCCTAGAAGAGTAGGAGTGAGCTTGCCACCTGATCGTCAAGTTCTGTTTTGTTTTGTTTTGCTTGAGCCTCAGTAGAGCAAGATCCTCAATCATTGGAAAGATCTCAGCTGATAGTAACTTTGCTAGTGTTCCTGCATGAGTATCACTTTGCTATATGCATTGCTTTCTCCTGAGAAAAAGAACGTAGTTTCCATTCCAAAAGAATGTGATATATGAAAAAGCTAACATCAGTTCTAATAATTGATGATAATCTTGGAGATAATTGACCATTGACATTTGGTAAAATTAAAGGAAAGTTTTTAGAGTATATAATTAGGCCTTTTGTATTTTAGAGATTTTATAATCTGCTTTGTTCCTGCAAATTCTCGTTCTCCCTTTTCCTTCCCCCAGAGAACATCTTTTCTGGTGCAGAAATTGACCAGCTTTCCTTTTCTGTTTCAGGATGCAATTCGAAGCCACAGTGAATCAGGTACTTGTCCAAAGTTTAGCAAATAATAATGGGCTTTTTCTCTTTATGCTGTGTATCTTCCGTTGGCTTATCCATGTGTGGATTCTGTTTGTCTTGTCTATTAAGCCTCACCTTCAGCCTTGTCCAGCAGCCCTAACAATCTGAGCCCAACAGGCTGGTCACAGCCCAAAACCCCTGTGCCAGCACAGAGAGAGCGGGCACCAGGATCTGGGACCCAGGAGAAAAACAAAATTGTGAGTATGGCTTACAGTACCTCCTATATTTTAGGATTTACTAAGAAAAAACTAATCAGAAATGGGAATACTTTTAGTGGGGGTTGAGGGCTCTATTAAAAAAATTTAATGAAAATTATTATAAATGTCTGCCATTTTTGGCATGCTTGTGTTAAAGAATTTGTTGGCTTATTGTAAGGCAGGGCACAACTAAAATACTGTTTTTTCAAAATATCAAAATTGGAATGACAGTGTCTGTCTTTAAAAGATAGGGGAATGTGTGGATTTGGGTTGTTCTTTTCTCTGACGCCCTCATTAAATAGATTTACCATTCCATGGAGTGTGTTAATGATCTCTGCTGGTTTCAGAGGCCTCGTGGACAGAGAGATTCAAGCTATTACTGGGAAATAGAAGCCAGCGAAGTGATGCTCTCCACTCGGATTGGGTCAGGCTCCTTTGGAACGGTGTATAAGGGCAAGTGGCACGGTATGTTGGGGGGCATTTTCTTTACTGCAAGGCCCAAAAAGGGCCAAGAAGGGGATACCATCAGTTCATTGTGCTGTGTGGTTCACAGTGGCGCTCTTAGGGATACCTGATTACCTCTGAAGCTCGAACTTAATATCTCAGTGACCTTTCATAGCATTCTTTTTGGATTCGGTGATTGGTATGATATGGTTTCCAGGTGAACCTAGAAATTGATGAAGAGTGAGCCCTCCAGTCAAGTCTCAGGAACTGATTAAATACAGGCTGCACGGGGGAGGTGTTTTCAGGTTCCTTAGAGGATTAAGAGTCTGCTACTGTGAGGAGGGCATGGATTCTAGAAACCGAAAGCTGGAAAGAACCTGAGAGATTTGCATGTAGAAAACTGAGGTCCCAAGAGGGGAACGAACTAACATGCCCATAGTCAAACAGCTGGGCTCAGGACAGCCAGGAGCTTCATGAAAGCAAGTTCTCTTGCACTGCCTTGGGTCAGTTGTGGGGAACCCCCATCAAGTAGGGAGCACACAGACTTCATTCTTGAATCTGTGTGGAGTGTTAGTGTTCTTATTGTAATGGAAACACTTTGTCACTTGGAAGAAATGTACTATTTTAATATCTGTGGCCACAGTTTATGTATTTTGGCAACATACTTAACATCTTCCCCTCAGATTTTTAATGCCTCTGGCTTTAGGATGTTAGCAAATATTGGGAGTATTTTTTGGAAAATGCTACATGTTCCCCAAAAGGCGTCCTTCTAAATTCATATTTTAATGAAGCAAAAAAAAAAAAAAAAAAAAACCCAAAAATGCCTAGGTATGTTTCCATTTTGGATGGTTTCATGTTTATCTTTATACATACAGGGGCAGAGATTGAGAGAGGCTAAGAGCATCAAATGAACAGAGCATTAAAATCAAGATGTTGAAAACTGAGAAAGACCTCCAGTCTTCTGCGTACCTTACATTATTAACATATGGATAGATGTCATAAATGGGCGATTACCTAAGGAAAACAATTTTTTTTTTTTTTTTTTACTATTGAAGTATGGTTGACATACAGTGTTCTCTATTAGTTTCAAGTGTACAATATAGTGATTTGACAATCCTGTACATCATGTTCACCACACCAATTAGAGCTGCCATCTCTGTGACCATGCAGTATTAATATTATTGACTGTATTCCCAATGCTGTAATTTTTATCTCTGTGACTTATTTTATAACTGGAGGTTTGTACCTCTTAATCCCCCTCACCTGTTTGGCCCATCCCCCCCCATTTCCTGCGGCCCCCCTCCCCCCACCCACACCACCAGTTCTGTGTATTTGTGAGTCTGTTTGTGCCTTTTTTGTTGTTTATTCACTTGTTTTATTTTTTTAGATTCCATGTGTAGGTGAAATCATATGGTATTTTTATTTCACAGATTTATTTCATTTAGCATAATACCCTCTAGGGGGCGCCTGGGTGACTCAGTGGGTTAAGCCTCTGCCTTTGGCTCAGGGTCATGATCTCAGGGTTTTGGGATTGAGCCCCACAGGGAGCCTGCTTCCCCTTCTCTCTCTCTCTGCCTCTCTGACTGCTTGTGATCTCTCTGTCAAATAAATAAATAAAATCTTAAAAAAAAAATGCCCTTTACGTCCATCCATGTTGTTGTAAATGGCAAGATCTTTTTTTTTTTTTAATGGCTGAGGAATATTTCAATGTGTATATATATATCACATCTTTATTCATTTATGGCTGGACACTTAAGTTGCTTCCATGTCTTGGTTATTGTAAATAATGCTGCTGTGAATGTGGGGTGCAGATATCTTTTCAAGTTAGTGTTTTTGTCTTCTTTGGTAAATACCTAGCAGTATAATTACTGGATCTTATGGTAGTTCTATTTTTAATCTTTTGAGAAACTTCCATAGTTTTCCACAGTGGCTACACCAATTTACATACCTTTAAACAGTGCACAGGGTTTCCTTTTATTCTACATCTTCTCCAACTCTTGTTATTTCTTGTCTTTTTGATACTAGCCATTCTGACAGATGTGAGGTGATACTCCATTGTAGTTTTGAGTTTTGTTCTACATTTCCCTGATAATAGGGATATTGAGCACGTTTTCATATACCTGTTTACCTTTTGTATATCTTCTTTGGGAAATGTCTATTAGAACCTCTTTGTACATTTTTTTTTTAAGATTTCATTTATTTATGAGAGATAGAGAGGGAGCACAAGCATAAGTGAGCTGGAGAGGGAGGAGCAGGCCCACCCGCAGCAGGGAACCTGATGTGGGGCTCGATCCCAGGATGCCAGGATCATGACCTGAGCCTAAGGCAGATGCTTAATGACTGAGCCACCCAGGTTCCCCCTCTTTGTCCATTTTTTTTTTCTTAAGATTTTATTTATTTATTTGACAGAGATCACAAGTAGTCAGGCAGGCAGAGAGAGAGGCCGGGGAAGCAGGCTCCCTGCTGAGCAGAGAGCCCCATGCGGGGCTTGATCCTAGGACCCTGAGATTGTGACCTGAGCCAAAGGCTTAACCCACTTAACCCGCTTAACCCACTGAGCCACCCAGGTGCCCCTCTCCGTCCATTTTTTTTTTTTCTGTCCATTTTTAAATCAGATTGTCTTTTTGGTATTTCATGAGATATATTTTGGATATTAACTCCTTATAAATTATTTGCAAATACCTTCTCCCATTCTTTTTGTTTTTGTTGACAGTTTACTTGCTGTGCAAAAGCTTTTATTTGGTATTGTCCCATGGAAGAAGAATGCAATCTTGTGGGATTGAGTGCTTGTATCTGAGACAAGGCTGTTAGTAATTACAGGAGGTGGAGCAGTACATATTGCTTTTAATGCTTCCATTAGGAGAATGTAATCATTTAAAAAAAGAAAAGATTATTTATTTTAAAGAGTTGGGGGATGGGCAGAGGGTGAGAGAATCTCCAACAAACTCCTCGATCAGCAGGGAGCCTAATGTGGGGCTCAGTCCCACAGCCCTGAGATTATGACCTGAGTTGGACACTTAACCAGCTGAGACACCTAGGTGCGCCTGCACTTAATTTTTATACCACATTGTTAAAGCATCAGCTGAAAGCCAGTAGACCTAGTTAAGTTGGGCTCAAATTTAAGTTTCCTCTTGAGCATTCTTATTTGGGGAGGATTCATAATTTTTCAAAGTATTAATTATATTTGTCACAGTACTACCGGTGAGCTTGTGTTTTCTCTCAATTCTGTAAGCTTTTGGACTATGGTAAGGGGATATATTTGTTACAATGTTACTTCCAGAAAGACTTCTTTTAGACTGTAGATGACATGTCTAATACTTTTAAGATTCTAGTCTTTTTTAAGTTTTGAAAGTCAAGAGGAACAAGGAGCAATGAACTCTTACGTAAGCCCCTCAGAAAGCAAGCCATGGTCTGTGAATGAAGAAATAAAACAGGAGGCCCCAGGAAACCATATTTCTGGATTGTTTGTGCTGTACTTCTTTATGTGTGTTTGTATGTGTGTTTTGTTGTTGTTGCTGTTTTTCTGATTCCTATATACAATATAAAGTTCATTCAGTTTCTTAAAAATTACAGTTGTTTTAGTGATTTTTAAAATTTTTGATTCTGCCTAGAAGTTGTGAAAGTAGACAGAATCTCAGAGCAGCCAAGATGGAGGCCTCGGATCCATGAACTAAAGCTTGCTTACTTAGTGTGAGAAACTGTCCTTGGGCTCACACACAGAGCATAAGTTTGGGATCTGATTTGCCAGCCTCTGCAAATGATAACACATTAAAAGGGATGCAGACGGCAGTACTGATGGTGCTGGAACCATCACTGACGGCATGAGGAGAAGGCAGCAAAGCCTTCAGTCTCGAGCTATTTAGTGTTGAGGCCACCAGCCTGGTGGAACCCATGTCTGCGTCCCCATCCCAGCCTAGCACTGAGGTTTATAACTTTTGAGTCAGTAAGAAGAGCAGGAGTGGTGGGGCGCCTGGGTGGCTCAGTGGGTTAAAGCCTCTGCCTTTGGCTCAGGTCATGATCCCAGGGTTCTGGGATCGAGCCCCACATCGGGCTCTCTGCTCAGCAGGGAGCCTGCTTCCTCCTCTCTCTGCCTGCCTCTCCGCCTACTTGTGATCTCTGTCAAATAAATAAAATCTTCAAAAAAAAAAAAAAAGCAGGAGTGGTGTTCATTCTATTCTGTTCTAGAAAGTAGGGGTGTACCTAATAAGTCTTAGATAACTCTAAATGTTTAAAACAAGAAATGGGTGTTTAAAAAAGGTAAAAACATTCCCCATTTACCAACTGATAATAAATAGCTCTTCCTTCTTCAGTAGTAGCTGAATGAGATACTAGTATCCTACTAAAAACTTGATAAAATCAATAGGAATGTGTCTTAACTTGTTTGTAGTATTTGGCTCTGACTTCACTGTTAAGAGAGAGTAAGAAGCTCTGGTGTTACGAAAAGTAACCACTTCCCGCAGTTGTTCTGAGCTACCCTCTGTAACATGTTCCCTGGCCATTTACCTCGGTCATTTATATTACTTGCTAAAGGAAGGAAGTTACCATCCTTTATATGTTGTTAAGACTGCCAACTATAAGGGTGTGTGGATAATTCCAGAAGGGGAAGAAATGTTAATACAATTTTCTAGTCATCTTTGAAACATGTTCAAAAGAAGAGATTAGCAGGAAGCAGTATTACTAAATGTCTGTTGTGTGGAGTGGAGTGCTGGAGAGGTGGGCTTGAATGGTGTATTTGGCCCTGAGGACTTCCAGGGCAGGTTGGAGATCAGCCTTTGTGGGAGGCCCAGACCTGACCGTGCACTTCTGGGGGCCTCCAGCTGGGCACCGAGTCTCAGCTTCCCCACCAGCAGCTGACTCCTGACCTGTGCCGCAAGCAGTGGGGTCCCTAGTACTCTGTGCCAGCGGCTGTCCGCACAGACTACTCCGGGCCTTCAGACAGCGTGTCCGTTTGTAACAGTCCTTGCTGATGGTTGTACCGTAGAATTCATTTATTTCTTTATCCAGTGTTTTCTGAACATGCTTTTAGTTCCAAGCATTCTTCTAGGGGCTATGAATGAAGCAGCAAACCAAACAGAAAAACATTCTCTTACAGTGTTTCTATTCTGGTGGGGACAATAACTGAGCAAAGTGTAAAGTGTGTAATAAGGCCAAAGAGAAGAAAATGGAGGGGAAAAAGGTATGGAGTGGCAGGCCCCGTGGCCAGTTTGGGTGGGTTAATAGGAAGGACTCTGCTGAGGAAGTAGCACTTGCGTGAGGCTTGGGGTGTGCAGATAGCAGCAGCCAGGGGTTTGAGGTGGTCCGTTTGCCTGTTTGAGGAACTTCCGGAAGCTAATAGGATTGAGGTGCAGGCATGGGGAGTTGTAGGGTCTCGTAAAGATGTTGGAAATCTGTAGGTCTCAGATTATGCAAGACCTTCGGGAGGCTTGGCGAGCCTTGGCCTGAAATTCAGAATACTGGGGAGCTTGTTACTGAAGAACTCTTTCTAGTTCAGAGGAGTCCTGCCAGTATAAAACCGTTCTTTATTGGAGTTGAAATCCATTTTCCTATAATGTTTGCCCATTGCTCCTAGCAGACTGAATTCCTGTTATGGCAATGCTTGGAGTATTTGCATGAAAGTGAAGGAATGCTATAGTATGCAGTCTCTGAGTTTCAGTAAAAAATTGCATATAATCTCTTATCTTAACTGCAGACCATGAGCTGGCAGGCAGGATGGGTCCTTGTAGGTGCCATGGAGGCTCTGTCTTTGGTTTGACCATGTTCAGTCTTCCCACCAATGACTTGCATGAAGGCACAGGTGTGGATAGCAGATGCCTTACATGGAGCCGTAGTGCAGATTTGAGTAATAGGGTTTAGAAAGATGAGAGGATATGAAGTGGCTCTGGTGATGGAACAAAGAGAATATGAACTCTGAACAGGGATAGTAAGTCCTGCTCACTCTGCCAGAAAGTAGAGGCTGGAGGTGGAGGATGTTCATCGGACTGCAAGGTCGGAGTGAGTCACCATAAGCGGGCTTTGGCTGCTGGTGAGTCTTCTGAACTTTGAGGTTACATTATGATCAGGTCCAAAATGGGTGACACAGAAGGTGAGTTCAGTGACAGCTGGAGTGGACTCCTGGGAGAGCTGTAGAAAAGGGTCCCAAAGAGCAACCCTTCCTGAAGTCCCATCCATCGTCCCCCAAGCCTTCCTCTGCCCACCCTGGCCTATCCCTTTAAAGCCCTGCCTAGTGCCTAGGCCACCAGCATTGTACTTTTCTCCACCCTCCCTTGACTACCATGTCAGATCAGCCCACCTTCCTGAGGTTTCTTGCCTCCACCCCTCCTTTCTGTCACCAATGTCACCACTATTGGTTATATTTTGTCTGCAGAAGGGATGCAAGGCTCTTGGGGCAGGACTCCCCTGGCCTCTGTCCTAGTCTGTAGGGGCCCAGATCACACACTAGAGTTCCCTAAACATAGCTCATGTTTCCTTCATTCCTCCTTACCAATTACCTTTGTTCCTGGTGCATCTAGTTTAACAGCCTGTCCCATTTGGTTAAATTCTTCCCTTGGCTTATATCCCACTTGTTTCAGAAAACCTTTCTATATCCTCTCTGCAAACAGATCCCATTTGGTTAAATTCTTCCCTTGGCTTATATCCCACTTGTTTCAGAAAACCTTTCTATATCCTCTCTGCAAACAGATTTGCTCTCCTCTTTGTCCCCCACCCCCAGCATTCTTATCTTGGCTCAGACTGCTCCAGAATGAGCAGCTCTGCAGGAGACTCTTACCCTCCTGCTCAGTCAGAAGGAACCTTACTTAGGTGGGGCTGCATGGGTTTACCAGCTCCATCTTCCGGGATAGAAGGCAGCTCTGGGCCCTCTGTAAATGCACGTGCTGGTGAATTGGATGAGCTCCTGCCATTAAGTGGGGACTTCACCTTTAGATGATATAACCAGAGACCACGGGGCAACAGTTTGGGATCTGACATCTCTTTGCCATCTCTTCGCCAGTTGGTTCTCAAGTGAGGTGAGGAATGCTCCCCCAGAGGCTGCAAGGGGGTGTGTTTGATAAGGGGAGGAATTCCATTACCTCCAAGGTGCCGTCAGCCAACTTTGATTGATCCTCAAAGTCTGTGTTCTAGTAAAATTCACTTGCCAAGAAAATCTGAGGTCCTTCTAGGGCTTTGTGTAATTTATTATAATTACTATTAAAAATACAGTGTAGAGACACTTGAAAGTGGCTTCTCAATCAGTAGCACACATAAAGTAGAATTAGTCTCTGGATGTTTCTAAGGTTATGTAATGAGGCTCACAGTGTGACAGTCTTGTCAGTATGGAAGTTAGAAGGGCGGCCATTGGAGTTAGACTGGGGTTCTGATCCTGGCTCCCGCACTTCTGGTTTTAGGCTGTATGACCTTGGGCAGTGACTGAGCTTTTGTGCTGCCTTTGAAATGAGGGTAACAGTACTTAAGTCACAGGGCAGTTAGGACTGAAGGCGATAATGCCGGTGAGCGCACACGCCATGCCAGGGCTTGGTAACCAGTGAATCACTAGGATTACTTCTTTGAGGTATTAAAGGCAGAGTAGCTTAATTTTAGTATCCTCTTTGAATTTGTAAAAGGCACCATCTTAGGTCTCACTAAAATGTGGCTGCTGAGGGGCGCCCGGGTGGCTCAGATGGTTAAGCATCTGCCTCCGGGTCAGATCATAATCCTGGGATTGGGGCCCGTGCAGGTTCCTTGCTCAGCAGAGAGCCTGCTTCTCCCTCTCCCTGCTACTCCACCTTTCCCCCTGCTTGTGCTCTCTCTCTGCCAAATGAATAAAATCTTTAAAAAAAGCATTCGAAACAAACAAACAAATGTGGCGGCCGAGTTTGCTATCAGTTGCTTTCTAAACGGCCTGTCTCCTGGCCCCAAAGACTGTGCGTCTGCTGGCCCTCTGTGCCTGCCACTGCCACCCTCACAGGCCCAGCTGCGACCATTCACAAGTGACCTCACTGCTGGGGAGGCCAGGCTTCCTAGGAAGAGTTGAAAGCAAACCTGTTCAGGGCCCGTGTGGTGGTATTTGAAGGATAACAGTATAATATGTAACTTTTTTCAGCCACTTGAACAATTTAGAAATTTGTGTTTTTGTTCCATATGTGTAGGTAATGTGATACCTGAATAAGTGATTCACTATCTTTCTCAAAACTAGGGTATGTGAAAAACAACAAAATAAGGTCATTCAACTGATTGCACTGACTACAAACTAATTTGCAGGAGATGTTGCAGTAAAAATCCTAAAGGTTGTCGACCCCACACCAGAGCAGTTCCAGGCCTTCAGGAACGAGGTGGCTGTCCTCCGGTGAGTAGGGCGCAGGCCGTCCAGCCTCCCCGGAGCAGCAGGGGGTGGGCATGGCTGGTGGGGCAGAAGCTGCGGAGGAAGTGGGCTGCAGTGCATGTGCACCTGTCTCCGAGGGCCTGCGGCTGGCATGGGTGCTTAGTGTTCAGTGCGGAGTCCTGTGGCTAGAAGTCCTTCCTTGTAAGTGAAAGGGTGTGGAAAGTTTCCTCCAGCTCACCTGGTTGTCAGACCTCTAGAAGGGCCGCTTGTGGTGAGCACAGATCCCCTTCCACTCCTCCAGGCCTCTGGGCCCAGGTTCTTCTCTGGGTTGTGGTTTGAGATACAGAGAAATAGATTCTGTTTTCACCTTTCTTTCCAAGAGCTCTTTGTATGGCCAGTTTGCCTTATTCTGGAAGACCTTCAGCTTCGAAGTCCTTGAGTCATTATTTAGACTTGTAGGAATGTCATTATTTAAACTTGTTAGAATGATGACAGATTGCACAGATTAGGGGTCCGTGACCCCTGTGGGAGGAATCATGAGTGTATGCTGATTGGAGAGAATGTCCTCTCTCTCAAGGGCAACACTGAAGTGAATACACAGCGGGGTTCTTTTGTCACAACACCCAACTCGATGATCAGCAATTTTGCATGTTCGCTTTGCCAGCCACCCAGATTGTAAGCATGGTGGCGTCAAGGACACACAGGACCCAGCATCAGTGGGAAAGCAGAGTAGATCTCTATTCTGCAGCAGCTGAAGATTCAGAGCCTTTTTCCTCCTGTCCCCTCTAGCAAAACACGGCATGTGAACATCCTGCTCTTCATGGGGTACATGACAAAGGACAACCTGGCGATTGTGACCCAGTGGTGTGAAGGCAGCAGCCTCTACAAACACCTGCATGTCCAGGAGACTAAATTCCAGATGTTCCAGTTGATTGACATCGCCCGCCAGACTGCTCAGGGAATGGAGTGAGTAGATGGCTTTGCTGACTAGAAAGTCTGACCTAGTTTAGGAAAAAGCCAAGTCTGCTAAGTGGTTTCTGTGATACTGTTGCACAGCTGGAAAGGAAGCCTCCGGAGTGGGCTGAAGGAGTGAGAACTCAAGGTAGCTTGTCCGGGCTGAGGCCGCCTGCCTTGGGGCTTAGGTTGGGGTTCGAGCCAGTGCCCTCAGAATTTACCCAGACGCTGAAGAGTTATTGTGGGATTTAGACCTCCGGCCTGGACAGCCGTGGCCCTGCCCACTGTGGGAATGCGCGCTCTGAGGCATGGCCCACCGGCACACGCGCTTGCTCTGCAGGAGGGACTGAGCAGATGGTTTTCCATAATCTGTTTTTTGGAGCATGCTTAAAAGTCATCCCGAGCACCTGCACGTGACGCCACCCGTTTGTCTCTGTGCTTGAACACATTTCTTTGTGAAAGGGGTGTGTGTGGTGTGGTGTGTGTATGAGTCACACTTTTCCTCTGAGGTACCTCTTATATGGAAGAATGAGAGCTCCTCATAGCCCCGCATGTCTGAAGGTATAAGCTAAAGCTGTGCTTGCAAGTGCTATGTAAACTCTTTCTCCTTTTAAAATTCTTACGGAATTTACTTTCTTTTTTTTTTTTTTTTTTTTTTTTCTCAGAATTTACTTTCTATACATTTTAAGAAATAACTAGCCAGGGGTGCCTGGGTGGTTCGGTTGGTTAAGTGTCTGCCTTTGGTTCAGGTCATGATCCCAGGGGTCCTGGAATCGAGTCCCACCTCGGGCTCTCTGCTCAGCGGGAGTCTGGTTCTCTCTCCTGTCCCTGCCCCCTGCTCCTGCTCTATTTCAAATAAATAAATAAATAGTCTTAAAAAAAGGAATAGAATTACTTTATAGAAAAAAATTATGGATATAATCCACACACTATACAATTAACCCCTTAAATGCATACATCTTAGTGATTTTTAATATATTCAGAGTTGGGCACACATCTCCACTATCTAATTTTAGAACATTTGTCATGATAGAAGACGAGATAGGGGTGCCTGAGTGGCTCAGTCGGATGAGAGTCTGACTCTTCATTTCAGCTCAGGTCATGATCTTGAGGTCCTGGCATTGAGCCCCGTGTCCGGCTCTACACTCAGCACGGAGTCTGCTTGTCTTCCCTCTGCTCCTCCCCATGCTTGTTCACTCGAGCTTTCTCAAACAGAAAGATAAGGAGGTCTCTTGTGTCTAGCTCGACTTTGCATAACGGGTTTGGCATGTGTCAGTACCTCATTCTTTCCTGTAGCTGAATAACACTCTGCAGTACGGGCAGGCCACATTCTACTTACGTGTTCATTAGTGGGTGGACATTTGAGTTGTCAGAATTACTGTTTGAGTAGGAGTGATGCTTCAGTCACTGTCGCCTTACCTTCAGGCAAGGCATGATGTGGCCTAGCTTGTATCAGCGCCCAGCCAGTCCCCACTTGTAGCCCCTTACCAGGCAACAGGTGCTCTGGTGGCTTTCTTCCTAGCCGAAATTTGAAGCTATTTCTACCCATGTCCCTCAGACTGATTTTAATAGATTTATTTTCCCTTCACAGCTATTTGCATGCAAAGAACATCATCCATAGAGACATGAAATCCAACAGTATCCTTTGATGGTTGTTTTCGTTTGACTGCTCAGTTCTAAATTTAGAAAAACAGAAGGGAGGCTTTTTAAAGTTTATCCCAGCAAATGTGACTTTGGAAAGATTTCCACAAGATTTGAGATACATGTTTGGCTTATGGGTGAAAGTTTTATTATGCTCTTCATTACTAAATGTAAGTTGGAGGGATGGGGCTTTTGTCTTTCATGTTTATTTCTAGTGTGTGGACAGTGTGTATCTGTTCAGAAAGTGGCTGCAGGCCAGATGTTTCAAGATCATTGAAGTGATTACTGAAAATTGTTTCTTCAGTGAACAGAAGTGGTTTCTTCAGAGGTCACTGTTGGAACCAGCCCTTCCTCTTTCCGAGACTGTGTTCCTATAGAAGGGCACTGAAGACGAGGAGTGTTTGTACTGTAGGGCAGGAAATGTAGCCCTTGTCCACGTGCCTCCCGCCTGCAGGCAAGAGGAGCGTGGATGGCGTTACAGCCCCATTCTGCTTCTTGGCCAGTGAGAGGAGCCACAGTTGGGTTGAGTCAGATTGTGGGATGTGGCCTATTTAAGCCACATGTCTGAGGTATGGGATATGTTTTAGTGATGGGTTTTTGGGAGTGACACGTCCCAGCACGAGAGTAGACCCCGTAGATTTGGAGGAGGTATGCGTTACTGCATTGGTGGATCCCAAGTCAGCCTTAAACTGCCTGACTTCTTTATCCAGAAATGAGGTGAGTTTGGTCCTGATTTGAAGTCACCAAGCAGTACCTATTCTACTGAGAAATCTCTTAGGACAGCGTTCAGTGCTCAGTGAGGGATATGCCATTTTGTTCTTCACGTTTTAGTCGTTTGAGGGCACAAAGCAGGCAGAACAAATGTAAGCCATCACAGGCCAGGCCTGCCTCCAAGGAGCAGCAGATGGCAGCCCGTGCCCTTAGAAATCTTGGGGTTTAAGACACCTATTTCATGGGAAGGTCAGAAGGCCAGGGACCTGGCACCTAGATGTGGAAACGGGGAAGGGCAGCACGGGGAAACTGCCTTACTTTTGGCCGAGCCACATAATCTGACACCCTGAGCAACTGCTGCTTGCCTCCTGGAGGAAGGGGACTTTCAGAAGAACTTTTTAAAACTTTAGAAATCTAAGCAAACCAGAGAAGGCTGGGGACAGACAGGAGGCAGAGAGACGCTGTGCTCTGAAGACCTTTGGGAAGTGTTTCAAAATTAAGTTGACCATTCTTCTGAAACCACAGTCCTTAACAAGCATTGAGATATATTTCTCCATGAAGGCCTGACGGTGAAAATTGGAGATTTTGGTTTGGCAACAGTAAAGTCGCGCTGGAGTGGTTCTCAGCAAGTTGAACAACCCACTGGCTCTGTCCTGTGGATGGTGAGCAGGCGAGGGTCCCACTAGCAGGGTGCAGGGGAGAAGGGGTGTCCTGAAGGTCTGTGTGCAGACTCAGAGCATTGGACATTTCCCCAGTACCCAGATACCTCAGTGAGGCCTTCAGTGACATCAGGCAGCCGGAGGCAAATGTGAGCTTTCTGAAAGCTGGTGACCAAAACCATGCTGAGGCATAGGTGCTGGGGCCGAGGCTAGGCTTCCTGAGCCTGTGTTAGCCTGAGCCTGAGCAGGCCAGAAGTGTAAACTGAGGAAAGGGCTCTCATGCCCAGTGGGAGGGGACAGGCCTGGTGCCTGGATGCCTGTGGGGCCCAGATGGTGGTGAATGAATGTATTGTGTCCTTGTAGGCGCCTGAGGTGATCCGAATGCAGGATAACAACCCGTTCAGCTTCCAGTCTGATGTCTACTCCTACGGCATTGTGCTCTATGAGCTCATGACAGGGGAGCTTCCTTACTCCCACATCAATAACCGTGATCAGGTATGTGCCCTGGTGCAGACTGGCTGGACGGGGCTGTGGAAACCCCTGGACCTCCTGCAGTTTGAGCAGCAGGAGGGATAGAAGTTGCTGCCGTCACTGTTCCTCCACCCAGTCCCTCAACTGTTTGCTTCCTCTTAGATCATCTTCATGGTGGGCCGAGGGTATGCCTCCCCAGACCTCAGTAAGCTATATAAGAACTGCCCCAAAGCAATGAAGAGGCTTGTAGCCGACTGTGTGAAGAAGGTTAAGGAAGAGAGGCCTCTTTTTCCCCAGGTAAGACTTGGCTCAAGGGTGTAGGAATGGATTCAAGTAGGAGTTCCTAAATAGAAATGAGGAGGGAGGCAGGCTCATATTCTCCACCTGGTGCCACAACTGGGGTGGGAAGGGCCTGTGTTTAGGCTCCTCCCGGAAAAGCTGCTGCTCCCGCAGTGACACCAAGGCCACCTAATGATACCGCCTTGTTTCAGATACTGTCTTCCATCGAGCTGCTCCAACATTCTCTGCCGAAAATCAACCGGAGCGCTTCTGAGCCATCCCTGCACCGGGCGGCCCACACTGAGGATATCAACGCCTGCACACTGACTACGTCCCCTAGACTGCCTGTCTTCTAGCTGACTTTGTACCTGCACTCAGGCCATCGGGGGAGTAAGGGAAGTCAGCAGGCACCACCTCTCTGCTCCCTTTTGATGGAGGCAGAGAGCTCATTTTCAGAGAAGCTGCTGCTAAGGACCTTCTAGACTACTCACAGGGCCTTAACTTCATGTTGCCTTCTTTTCTACCCTTTCTGGCCCTGGGAGAAGGAAGCCATTCGAAATGCTGGTTTGTCCTGCTCCCTCCCTGCATCCCCTATGCTCTTGAGCCGAGAGTCTTCTCCAGATGCACCCACAGCTGCCAGATCCGGCAGTATGTGGTCTGGGGCCCCAGCTGTTGGCTGAATGAGTATTTTTTTTTTAGGGCAAAAAAAAAAAAAAAAAAAAACCCCACACTCAGAGGGGAAATGAAGGTAGCAGACAAACCAGCCCTGATGTGGACATGTGGATTATGGATATCAGCTCCTACGAGGAATGCTTATCATGGGAAGGACTGTTCTTCAGAGGGTGGTGTGGCATCAAACAGTAGTTTTGCATGTAACACACCAAACAGCCCAGGACTGTTGAGAGACCATGGCTGCCTGAAGGAGCATTGGTACTATGGACCTTGACTTTGGGGACACTTCTTTCCTTGGAGATCTCTTGGGACGGTTTTCCAGAAGAGGTGCTTGGCCCACCCCCCCCAGCCTCTGCCCTGTCAGGGAGCAGTCTTCCATCATGCTGAAT